CGCTTGGTTTGTACGTATCACGTATAAAACGTTCAATATATCAAGTTTAATTATATACATACTTTGTAAAACGTTAATGACTGTACTCATTGAAATTCCAGTTTAATTCTGTTCGTTATATTACTTTAGGCTTATGTCGCGTCGGCTATCTTATTCGCGGAACAAGCGAAACCGACCGATGGATTGTATTTTGCCCCTACTTCTAGAGCGAGTTAAGACGTGTTGTACATTTAGCGTTAATTACTTTATTGTGTTTTCGTCCCTACCTATAAGGTCATTTAAAATTCTTTATTCGGCTAGCGTCAATCACTGTCGCCCTTTGCGCTCCTTAGCTCACGCTGCGACTAAGCGAGAGTATCTTCGATCTCGCCACGCCTTTTGCTGTATTTCGTATCCGGCGTATACGAGGCGGGCTGTATGTTCAGGATTAGAGCGTTAATTCGTGCGGCCGTCGAGATCTCTCGAGAAACTTCTTCGCTTCGAATCTTTGTTGATTCGACTTTCGAGCAATGCCGACGTCGAGAGCGCGTGTTTGTGTGCCGATGACGACGGGAGTCTTTCGACACAGAAAAAAGGCCCTCGTCGTACTTGGTGTGTTTCGTCGCTCGTTGCTGGGCCGATGTTATCGGCGAATCGCGTTATCGCTTCCAAAATCAAAGCCGCGAGCCGTTCGAGTTCGCGCGACACAAAGTCAGTCGAATCTAGAGAGCGACGGGTCGAGAGGGCTCCGTCGAAGCGTCCGAGCGAACCCGGCGCAAAAATAAATCGTCTTAATTGTCGTTAACGGGGGAACCTGATCGAAGGCTCCCGCCGCCGGCAACAATGCTAACGGTATTACATCTTTTTGGCCAGTTTTCAGCCACCATATGAGTGCAAACTGTTTATTTCCTTTTGGCATTATTAAAGGGATCCTAAAGGCGATTAATATTTTATATCATATTTTAAATAGCATTTACATGCAGACGATTTATGCGTCATTGACACATCACTACATTTTATTACATCAATATCTCACGTATGTACACACATAAATTTTCGCGTACAGCAATAATATTTTAATTAGACGTCTAAGTCCAATTTTAAGAACTCCACGTTTTCTTCGTGCAAAGTAATAATCTGTGGACTACTATTTTGTTAACTATTGCACAATTATTGCACAGTTTTTATATGACGTAAATGTTGTCACGACATGATAGCTCTAGAGCACCATATTTGAAGTGAACTTTTTTTCATTTTTTTCTCGCATTCGAGACTCGAATTTCGAGTGTCACGCGAGCGATTGTCAATTTATTATGTCACGATGTCACCCAATTCTCTGTAATAGGCATTATAAGTGTAAATTTAACTAAGATTTCCTACACGGGCAATAATTATTTAAAATTTAATTATTATAAAATATTTGAATAAAAGTTACATATTCATAGAAAAGAAATGTCTAAAAAATCATTTCAGAACTTACAGAAATCACAAAAATATAATCTTTTAAATAAATTCTTAATAACTGCTGAAAAAGACGAAGCTTTTATATATAATACTGGTGAATCAAGTCATCAATTATTTCTAAATAAAATGTAAGTATTGTTTACTATTAATACAGGTCAACAGAATGTTATCAAAAGATCAATGTTTTTACTTGTATGAAAAATTTCTGATTATATAAATACATTTGTGCATGGTCGTCCGCACTTAGAAGCTTAGTAGTCTGGTCCTCTATTGTATATATTTATTTAAATTTCAAGAGATTTTATTTGTGTGTGGTTCAGTATAAAAATATAAAATTTTATAAGGAAAATTTATATAAGGAAATTCACAATCCTCCAACTTCAGTGCACGTAAAAATGTAAATACAAATGCATCGACGCATAATGATGAAATAATTAACGAAGAGAGAGAAGATGATGTTGCAATGGAAGAAGCTGAAGAAGAAAAAGTTGAAGAGGAAGATGAAGCAGAAATTGAGTCAGAAGAAAAAGATGAAGAGGAAATTAAATCAGTAGAAGAAGATGAAAATGAAGAAGAGAAAGAAGATGAAGATGGAGAAGAGGAAGAAGATAAAGATGAAGGAGAGGAAGAGGATGATAATGAAGAAGAAAATATTGATAACAATACAAGAAATAATTATGGCAATAGAGAACAATTCGATGAACCTCTATATTTCGATGCTCCATTACGTGTGTCTCAAAGTATGTTGTTAATCTTAACACTTGCTGTTCGTCATAATATCAATATGTCTGTCTTGCTGATATAATCAATGTCATTAATTTACACTGTCCAGTTCGAAATTAAAAAAAAAATAGTATTTATAAATTTAAACAATATTTTTCTTTTAAAGAAACAAAGAATATTGTAACAAAACATTATTATTGTACTACATGTAATCGCGAATTAGAAAATATCAATGATATTTGTTTATTATGTCCAAAACAAAAGAATTCTTATTTTGTGGAAATTCCTGTTATTGAACATTTAAGAGAAATAATATTCTTGAGGCTTTCACGGGTGTTTCCTATATGACAATCTTGTGTTTCGCGGGTTTTCTCCGTGTTCAAATCCATTCTTGGCAGGATATTAAAGAAACACAATATCCGAACTATCTTCAAACCACCCAAAAAGATAGGACAAATCTTAAGAAATCCCAAAGATCAAAGACCTCCACTCAGCTCCGCAGGAG